TTTTATTTTGTATATCTGTATAGCTTAAGAGTTATCATTAGAGATGAGCGAATCGAAGTAGCCGAAGTGGATTCGAGTCGAATATCGGAAAAATTTCGATTCGCGCCGAATCCGAAAAAATAGCCTACTTCGGAAGCGCGAATCGAAATTTTTCCGAAAATGGCGGCGGACATGTGCGGCGACGGTGCGGGGATGTCTGGGAAGGTGCGCTGACCCATAATGCATTCCTCAATGACAGGTGATCGCATCAGCCAATCAGCAGCCAGCCAGCCAGCACTGTGTAATGGTCGAGCTATAAATAGCGGCCATTTTGGAATTCTTCATTTGCCTGCAGTCATTGAACAGAGGCAGACCGCTCTGTATTAGGGACAGAGTTAGGGCCACAGAAACGATACTTGGGGACAGAGAAACGTTACTTAGGGACAGAGAACCATTACTCAGGGACAAAGAATTGTTAGTGAGGGCCACAGAATCGTTACTTAGGGACAAAGAAACGCTAGTTAGGGCCACAGAATTCTTACTCAGGGACAGACAGAATTGTTACTGAGTGCCAGAGAATTGTTACTTAGGGCCACAGAAACGTTATTAGGGCCACAGAATTGTTACTCAGGGACAGACAGAATTGTTACTGAGTGCCAGAGAATTGTTACTTAGGGCCACAGAAACTTTAGTTAGGGCCACAGAATTGTTACTCAGGGACAGACACAGAATTGTTACTGAGGGCCACAGAAACTGTTACTTAGGGCCACAGAAACGTTATTAGGGCCACAGAATTGTTACTCAGGGACAGACAGAATTGTTACTGAGTGCCAGAGAATTGTTACTTAGGGCCACAGAAACTTTAGTTAGGGCCACAGAATTGTTACTCAGGGACAGACACAGAATTGTTACTGAGGGCCACAGCACTGTTACTTAGGGCCACAGAAACTTTAGTTAGGGCCACAGAATTGTTACTCAGGGACAGACACAGAATTGTTACTGAGGGCCACAGAACTGTTACTTAGGGCCACAGAATTGTTACTCGCACAGACACAGAATTGTTACTCAGGGACACAGAATTGTTACTGAGGGCCACAGAACCGTTACTTAGGGCCACAGAATTGTTACTCGCACAGACACATAATTGTTACACAGGGACACAGAATTGTTACTGAGGGCCACAGAACCGTTACTTAGGGCCACAGAATTGTTACTCAGGGACACAGAATTGTTACTGAGGGCCACAGAACTGTTACTTAGGGCCACAGAATTGTTACTCGCACAGACACAGAATTGTTACTCAGGGACACAGAACTGTTACTGAGGGCCACAAACTGTTACTTAGGGCCACAGAATTGTTACTCGCACAGACACAGAATTGTTACACAGGGACACAGAATTGTTACTGAGAGCCACAGAACCGTTACTTAGGGCCACAGAATTGTTACTCAGGGACACAGAATTGTTACTGAGGGCCACAGAACTGTTACTTAGGGCCACAGAATTGTTACTCGCACAGACACAGAATTGTTACTCAGGGACACAGAATTGTTACTGAGGGCCACAGAACCGTTACTTAGGGCCACAGAATTGTTACTCGCACAGACACAGAATTGTTACACAAGGACACAGAATTTGTTACTGAGAGCCACAGAACCGTTACTTAGGGCCACAGAATTGTTACTCAGGGACACAGAATTGTTACTGAGGGCCACAGAACTGTTACTTAGGGCCACAGAATTGTTACTCGCACAGACACAGAATTGTTACTCAGGGACACAGAATTGTTACTGAGGGCCACAGAACCGTTACTTAGGGCCACAGATTGTTACTCGCACAGGCACAGAATTGTTACACAGGGACACAGAATTGTTACTGAGGGCCACAGAACCGTTACTTAGGGCCACAGAATTGTTAATCAGGGACACAGAATTGTTACTGAGGGCCACAGAACTGTTACTTAGGGCCACAGAATTGTTACTCGCACAGACACAGGAATTGTTACTCAGGGACACAGAACTGTTACTGAGGGCCACAAACTGTTACTTAGGGCCACAGAATTGTTACTCGCACAGACACAGAATTGTTACACAGGGACACAGAATTGTTACTGAGAGCCACAGAACCGTTACTTAGGGCCACAGAATTGTTACTCAGGGACACAGAATTGTTACTGAGGGCCACAGAACTGTTACTTAGGGCCACAGAATTGTTACTCGCACAGACACAGAATTGTTACTCAGGGACACAGAATTGTTACTGAGGGCCACAGAACCGTTACTTAGGGCCACAGAATTGTTACTCGCACAGACACAGAATTGGTTACACAGGGACACAGAATTGTTACTGATGGGCCACAGAACCGTTACTTAGGGCCACAGAATTGTTACTCAGGGACACAGAATTGTTACTGAGGGCCACAGAACTGTTACTTAGGCCACAGAATTGTTACTCGCACAGACACAGAATTGGTTACTCAGGGACACAGAATTGTTACTGAGGGCCACAGAAACCGTTACTTAGGGCCACAGAATTGTTACTCGCACAGACACAGAATTGTTACACAGGGACACAGAATTGTTACTGAGGGCCACAGAACCGTTAACTTAGGGCCACAGAATTGTTACTCAGGGACACAGAATTGTTATTTTTTTTTTGTTCTGAGGGCCACAGAACTGTTACTTAGGGCCACAGAATTGTTACTCGCACAGACACAGAATTGTTACTCAGGGACACAGAACTGTTACTGAGGGCCACAAACAGTTACTTAGGGCCACAGAAATTTGTTACTCGCACAGACACAGAATTGTTACACAGGGACACAGAATTGTTACTGAGGGCCACAGAAAAACCGTTACTTAGGGCCACAGAATTGTTACTCAGGGACACAGACTTGTTACTGAGGGCCACAGAACTGTTACTTAGGGCCACAGAATTGTTACTCGCACAGACACAGAATTGTTAACTCAGGGACACAGAACTGTTACTGATGGCCACAGAACTGTTACTTAGGGCCACAGAATTGTTACTCACACAGACACAGAAAATTGTTACACAGGGACACAGAATTGTTTACTGAGGGCCACAGAACCGTTACTTAGGGCCACAGAATTGTTACTGAGGGCCACAGAAAAGAACTGTTACTTAGGGCCACAGAATTGTTACTCGCACAGGACACAGAATTTGTTACTCAGGGACACAGAACTTGTTACTGAGGGCCACAGAACTGTTACTTAGGGCCACAGAATTGTTACTCGCACAGACACAGAATTGTTTACACAGGGACACAGAATTGTTACTGAGGGCCACAGAACCGTTACTTAGGGCCACAAATGTTACTTGAGGGCCACAGAACTGTTACTTAGGGCCACAGAATTGTTACTCGCACACAGACACAGAATTGTTACTCAGGGACACAGAACTGTTACTGAGGGCCACAGAAACTGTAACTTAGGGGGGGGGGACCACAGAATTGTTACTCGCACGGAGACACAGAAATTGTTTACACAGGGACACAGAATTGTTACTGAGGGCCACAGAACCGTTACTTTAGGGCCACAGAATTTGTTACTGGAGGGCCACAGAACTGTTACTTAGGGCCACAGAATTGTTACTCACACAGACACACATGCAGAATTGTTACTCAGGGACAACAGAACTGTTACTGAGGGCCACAGAACTCGTTACTTAGGGCCACAGAATTGTTACTCGCACAGACACAGAATTGTTTACACAGGGACACAGAATTGTTACTGAGGGCCACAAGAACCGTTTCCTTAGGGCCACAGAATTGTTACTGAGGGCCACAGAACTGTTACTTAGGGCCACAGAATTGTTACTCAGCCACATACACAGAATTGTTACTCAGGGACACAGAAACTGTTACTGAGGGCCAACAGAACCGTTACTTAGGGCCACAGAATTGTTACACAGGGACACAGAATCGTTTAATTTAAAGAGTCTCATGTCAGTTGTTCAACACCTGCAGAGGAGTGGCAGAGGAGATTAGCAATGTTTTAGGAGCGAGCAGACGTGGCAGCGATGAAGGGGTCACCTCGAGGCAGCACTATTCGCAGCCAGAGGCTAGTGCTCCCGGTGTCATCCAGTACAGTGAGTGAAGAGCTAACAGAGGGCGGTCAGGAACGGGGGGAGACATCCGCCTCTTCAGCAGCCCTAATCTTGCGAAGGGAAGTAGTGTTGAGGAGAGTGGCTTCGGGTAGCCGGTGTAGAGAACAGGTCTGTCTCCTGACCCACACGCAACTTGCCGAGGGGGCTAGTAGTGAGGCGGAGACCCTAATTGATGAAGATGAGGCTGATCGCACTTGGCAGCCTCGTCGTCATCAGGCTATTGCTTCCGCATCATCAAGGAGAAGAGGGTGGCAGCTTGGGCAGAGAGCAAAACAGTCGGTGGGCCTTGTCTCCATCGCCACACTCTGCCATGTGCCACTTTCAGGTCTCCTCACACACTGCTGGTGTGTTGAATTTTTTGACATAGGGTGCTGGCAGATTAACGGGCCTCCCATAGCTGCTGCCAGGCCACTAATCTGCCATGGCCCCTATATACCGCCTCCTCATGCTGCTGCCAGGGTCCACAGTCTCTCATGCCATGTGCCTCCACTTTCAGGTCTCCTCACACTGCTGGTGTGTTGAATTTTAATTGACATAGGGTGCTGGCAGATTACGGGTTGCCTCCCATAGCTGCTGAGAAAACGGAGCCCCTAATCTGCCATGGGCCTCCTATATACCGCCTCCATCATGCTGCTGCCAGGTCCAGAGTCTGTCATGGGTCCCTGTACGGCCTCCCATTGCTGCTGTCTCCATCGCCACAAACTTCTGCCATGTGCCACTTTCAGGTCCTCCTCACACACTGCTTGAGTGTGTTGAATTTTTTGACATAGGGTGCTGGCAGTACATTACGGGCCTCCCATAGCTGCTGCAGGCCCCTAATTCTGCCATGGGGCCCCTATAACTAAAACTTATCTCCATCATGCTGCTGGCCAGTCCACAGTCTCTCATGCCATGTGCCACTTTCAGGTCTCCTCACACTGCTTGGTGTGTTGAATTTTTTCATGACATAGTGGTGCTGGCAGATTACGGGCCTCCCATAGCTGCTGGCCAGCCCCCTAATCTGCCATGGGCCCCTATATACCGCCTCCTCATGCTGCTGCCAGCGGGTCCATAGTCTGTCATGGGTTACTGTCTGTCATGTACCTGGCCTCCCATTGCTGCTGTCTCCATCGCCACACTCTGCATGTTGCCACTTTCAGGTCTCCTCACACACTGCTGGTGTGTTGTGAAGATATTTTGACATAGGGTGCTGGCAGATTACGGGCCTCTCCCATAGCTGCTGCCAGGCCCTAATCTGCCATGGGCCCCTATACCACCTCCTCATGCTGCTGCACAGGTTACCACAGTCTCTCAATGCCAAGTGCCACTTTCAGGTCTCCTCACACTGCTGGTGGTGTTCAGAAAAGGTTTTTTTGACATAGGGTGCTGGCAGATTACGGGCCTCCCATAGCTGCTGGCCAGGCCCTAATCTGCCATGGGCCCCTAAATACCGCCTCCTCATGCTGCTGCCAGGTCCAGGAGTCTGTCCCACCCCCATAGGGGGGGGTCCCTGTACGGCCTCCCATTTGCTGCTGTCTCACATCGCCACACCTGCCATGTGCCACATTATGGTCTCTCTCACACTGCTTGTGTTTTCAAATTTTTGACATAGGGTTAGGTGCTGGCAGATACGGGCCTCCTATAGCTGCTGCCAGGCCCCTAATTCTGCCATGGGCCCCTAAATACTACCGCCTCCTCATGCTGCTGCCAAGTCCAGAGTCCTCTCATGGTCCCCATATAAACGGCCTCCCATTGCTGCTGTCTCCATCGCCACACTCTGCCATGTGCCACTTTCAGGTCTCCTCACCACACTGCTGGTGTGTAGAATTTTTTGACATAGGGTGCTGGCAGATTACGGGCCTCCTATAGCTGCTGCCAGGCCCCTAAATCTGCCATGGGCCCCTATATACCGCCTCCTCATGCTGCTGCCAGGTCCAGAGTCTCTCATGGGTCCCTGTACGGCCGTCCCATTGCTGCTGTCTCCATCGCCACACTCTGCCCATGTGCCACTTTTCAGGTCTCCTCACACAACTGTGGTGTGTAGAATTTTTTTGACATAGGGTGCTGGCAGATTACGGGCCTCCTATAGCTGCTGCCAGGCCCCTAATCTTCCATGGGCCCCCTATACCGCTCCTCATGCTGACTGCCAAGTCCAGAGTCTCTCATGGGTCCCTATACGGCCTCCCATTGCTGCTGTCTCCATCGCCACACTCTGCCATGTGCCATTTCAGGTCTCCTCACACACTGCTGGTGTGTTAGAATTTTTTGACATAGGGTGCTGGCAGATTACGGCCTCCTATAGCTGCTGCCAGGCCCCTAATCTGCCATGGGCTCCTATATACCGCCTCCTCATGCTGCTGCCAGGTCCAGAGTCTCTCATGGGTCCCCTGTACGGCCTCCATTGCTGCCTGTCTCCATCGCCACACTCTGCCATGTGCCACTTTCAGGTCTCCTCACACACTGCTGGTGTGTAGATTTTTTGACATAGGGTGCTGGCAGATTACGGGCCTCCTATAGCTGCTGCCAGGCCCCTAATCTGCCATGGGCCCCAATATACCGCCTCCTCATGCTGCTGCCAAGTCCAGAGTCTCTCATGGGTCCCTTACGGCCTCCCATTGCTGCTGTCTCATCGCCACACTCTGCCATGTGCCACATTCAGGTCTCTCTCACACTGCTTGTGTTTTCAATTTTTTGACATAGGGTGCTGGCAGATTACGGGCCTCCCATAGCTGCTGCCAGGCCCCTAATCTGCCATGGGCCCCTATATACCGCCTCCTCATGCTGCTGCCAAGTCCAGAGTCTCTCATGGGTCCCTGTACGGCCTTCCCATTGCAGCTGTCTCCATCACACAAACTCTGCCATGTGCCACTTTCAGGTCTCCTCACACTGCTGGTGTGTAAAATTTTTTTTTTTTGACATAGGGTGCTGGCAGATTACGGGCCTCCTATAGCTGCTGCCAGGCCCCTAATCTGCCATAGGCCCCTATATACCGCCCTCCTCATGCTGCTGCCAGGGTCCAGAGTCTCTCATGGTCCCTGTAATACGGCCTACATTGCTGCTGTCTCCATCGCCACACTCTGCCATGGTGCCACTTTCAGGTCTCCTCAACACACTGCTGTGTGTGTAAAATTTTTTGACATAGGGTTGCTGGCAGATTACGGGCCTCCTATAGCTGCTGCCAGCCCCTAATTGCCATAGGCCCCTATATACCGCCTCCTCATGCTGCTGCCAGGTCCAGAGTCTCTCATGGGCCCCTGTACGGCCTCCCATTGCTGCTGTCTCCCATCGCCACACTCTGCCATGGGCCACATTATATGACTCTTCACACTGCTTGGTGTTTTCAATTTTTTTGACAGTAGGGTGCTGGCAGATTACGGGCCTCCCATACGCTGCTGCCAGGCCCCTAATCTGCCATGGGCCCCTATATACCGCCTCCTCTCCCTTCAGGCTGCTGCCAAGTCCAGAGTCTCTCATGGGTTCCCTATACGGGCCGTCCCATTGGCTGCCTGTCACCATCGCCACACTCTGCCATGTGCCACTTTCAGGGTTCTCCTCACAACACTTGCTTGGTGTGTAGAATTTTTGTGACATAGGGTGCTGGCAGATTACGGGCCTCCCTATAGCCGCTGCCAGGCCCCCTTTAATCCTGCCATGGGCCCCTATATACCGCCTCCCCTCATGCTGCTGCCAGGTCCAGAGTCTCTCATGGTCCCCTGTAACGGCCTCCCATTGCTGCTGTCATCACCCCCAACACTCTGCCATGTGCCACTTTTCAGGTCTCCTCACACACTGCTGGTGGTGTAGAATTTTTTGACATAGGGTGCATGGCAGGATTACGGGCCTCCTATAGCTGCTTGCCAGCCCCTAATCTGCCATGGGCCCCTATATACCGCCCTCCTCATGGCTGCTGCCAGGTTCCAGAGTCTCTCATGGGTTCCCTGTACGGCCTCCCATTGCGGTGATGCTGGTCTCCATCGCCACACTCTGCCATGTGCCACTTTCAGGTCTCCTCACACACTGCTGGTGGTGTATGAATCTTTTTGATACATAGGGTGCTGGCAGAATTACGTGTCACCTATAGACTGCTGCCAGGCCCCTAAATCTGCCATGGGGACCCTATTATAAACCCATCCCTGCCTCCTCATGCTGACTTGCCAGGTCCAGAGTCTTCTCATGGGTCCCCGCTGGTACGGCCTCCCATTGGCTGCTGTCTCCATCGCCACACTCTGACATGTGCCACTTTCAGGTCCCTCCTCACACTGATGGTGTGTTGAATTTTTTTGACATAGGGTGCTGGCAGATTACGGGCCTCCTATAGCTGCTGCCAGGCCCCTAGTCTGCCATGGGCCCCCTATATACCCAGCCTCCTCATGGCTGCTGGCACAAGTCCAGAGTCTGACATGGGTCCCTGAGTACGGCCTCCCATTGCTGCTGTCCCTCCATCGCCTTCACGCCTGCCATGGTGTCTACTTTCAGGGTCTCCATCCACACTACTGCAGGTGTGTTGAATTTTTATTGAGACATAGTGTGCTGGCAGATTACGGGCCTCCAAATAGCAGACTGCCAGGGGCCCCTAATCTTGCCATAGGGCCCCTATACTGCCTCCCACATAGCTGCTGCCAGGTCCCAACAGTCTCTCAATTGCCATGTGCCACTTTCAGCGGTCTCCATCACATCTGCTGGTGTGTTGAATTTTTTGACATAGGGTGCTGGCAGATTACGGGGCCTCCCATAGCAGATTGCCAGGCCCCCTAATCTGACATGGGCCCCTATATACCTACGCCTTCCTCATTGCTGCCTGCCAGGTCCAGGAGTCTTATCATGGTCCCCTGTACGGCTCCCCAATGCTGCTGTCTCCATCCCCACACGTCTGCCATGTGCCACTTTCAGTCTCCTCCACACATTCTGCTGGTGTGTAGAATTTTTTGACATAGGTGCTGGCCAGATTAACGGGCCTCCTATAGCTGCTGCCAGGCCCTAATACTGCCAAGTGGGCCCCTAGTAATAACGCCTCCTCGCTGCTGCTACGCCAGGACCAGAGTGCTCTCATGGGTCCCGTACGGCCTCCATTGCTGCTGTCCCATCGCCACACCTCTGCCATGTGCCACTTTCCCGGTCTCCTCACACACTGCTGGTGTGTATAATTTTTTGACATAGAGTGCTGGCAGATTACGGCCCTCCTATAGCTGGCTGCCAGGCCCCTAATCTGCCATGGGCCCCTATATACCCGCCTCCGTCATGCTGCTGCCAGGTCCAGAGATCTCGTCATGGGTCCATGGAACGGCCTCCCAATGAGTGCTGTCCTCCCTCGCCACACCTGCCATGTGCCACTTTCAGGTCTCCTCCACTGCTGGTGTGTTGGAATTTTTTTGACATAGGGTGCTGCAGATTACGGGCCTCCTATAGCTGCCTGCCAGACCCCCTAGTACTGCCATGGGCCCCTATATAACCACCCTGCCTCCTCATCTGCTGACCAAGTCCAGAGATCTGTCATGGGTCCCTGTACGGCCTCCCATTGCTGAGCTCGCTCCATCGCCACACTCAGCATGGTGCCAACTTTCCAGGGTCTCCTCACAACTGCTGAATTTTGTGACATAGGGTGCTGGCAAACGGGCCTCCCTAAAAAATAGAATACCGAGCTGCGGAAATAGAGCCGTCCATCGGAATACCGCCTCCTCATGCCTGCTGCCAGTCCAAGTCTACTCAAGGCCACTTTCAGGTCTCCTCACACTGCTGTGTGTTTGAATTTTTTGACATAGGTGCTGGCAGATTACGGGCCTCCAATAGCTGCTGCCATGTCCCCTAAATCTGCCTGGGCCCCTAATATACCGCCCTCCTCATGCTGCTAGCCAGGTCCAGAGTCTCTCATGGGTCCCCTGTAACGGCCTCCATTGCTGCGTCTCCATCCCCACACTCTGCCATGTGCCACTTCCAGCTCTCCTCACGACATGCTGGTGTGTAGAACTTTTTTCGACATAGGGTGCTGGCAGATTACGGGCCTCCTATAGCTTGCTGTCCAGGGCCCCTAATCTGCCATGGGCCCCTACTATACCGCATCTCCTCATGCTGCAGCCAGGATCCAGAGTCTCTCATGGGTTCCCTGTAACGGCCTCCATTGGCTGCTGTCTCCATCGCCACACTCTGACCATGTGGCACTTTCATGTCTCCTCAACACACTGACTGGTGTTGGTAGAATTTTTTTGGACATAGGGTGCTGGGCACGATTACGGGGCCTCCTATAGCTGCTGCCATCCCCCGTAATCTGCCATGGGCCCCTATAATACCGGCCTCCTCATGCAGCTCGCCAGGGTCCAGAGACTCTCATGGGTCCCGGTTTACGGCCTCCCTTTGCTGCTGACTCCATCGCCACACACTGCCATGTGCCACTTTCAGGTGTATCCTCACAACTGCTGGGTGTTGAATTTCTTTGACATAGGGTTTGCTGGCAGATTACGGGGCCTCCTATAGCTGCTAGCCAGCCCCTAGTCTGCCATAATGGGCCCCCTATTATACCGCCTCCTCATGCTGCTGCCAAGTCCAGAGTCTGTCATGGGTCCCTGTACGCCTCCCATTGCTGCTGTCCTCCATCGCCACACTCTGCCAATGTGCCACATTCAGTCTCCTCACACTCTGCTTGGTGTGTTGAATTTTTTGACATAGGTGCTGGCAGATTACGGGCCTCCTATAGCTGCTGCCAGGCCCTAATCTGCCATAGGCCTCTATATACCGCCTCTCATGCTGCTGCCAAGTCCAGAGTCTGTCATGGACCCATATACCGCCTCCTCATGCTGCTGCCAGGTCCACAGTCCTCTCATGACATGTGCCACATTCCAGGTCTCCTCACACTGCACGGTGTGTGGTTGATTTTTTTGACATAGGGTGCTGGGCAGATTATGGGCTCACCCAATAGCTGATGCCAGGCCCCTAATCTGCCATGGGCCCCTTTACCGCCTCCACATGCTGTGACGTTGCAACAAGGTGGAATTCAAACCCTACATATGTTAGACCGCCTTTACGAACAGCAAAAGGCCATCACAGATTTCCTGATGTTTAAAAAAGCGGATAAAGTTACTTCCTGTGTAAACTTAGATGTCAGCCATTGGCAGCTCATGAGTGACACCTGCGCTTGCTCAGGCCCTTTGAGGAGGCCACGCTATTTTCGTGAGTCGCAGGGACTATGGGAATGAACGACGTCCATCATTCCTCGCGACTGTTGCAGCTCGTCCCCCCCCCTGGAACAAATTGCTTTTAACAATGGACTGGTCAGGGTGCGGGGTAGACGTGGCGCACAGATCTCAACGCCACATGACCCTGTGGGTGGCAGGACAGGAAGAAGAGGAGGAGGTAGTAGGAGGACATGGTGCTCAGGAATTATTGAGTGAAACATGGGTGGTTTTTCCACTCAGCGGACAGGAGTGGAGAGCAGGAGCATCTGGTAGAGGAGTAGGAAGAGGAGACAGAGGACCCAGACGCACCGTGGCAGTATGCTGTGGAGATGGAGCAGGAGTCCCTCGCATTTCCTTGGCACAAATGGCCCACAGCATGCTCGCTTGCTTGCGTAGCGACAGCCGAATAATAACCATCAGACAGAGGGATGACTTTTGGCTTGTCCACCCTTGTTGGACCCTCGCTAAACCGTTTCAAAAATGGTGGCCTTTTTCACACCTGCTGAGAGGGAGGCCAAAATAACGTACTATAAAAACCACCTATGTAGTCAGCTGGTCTCTGCCTGTCTGCGCCAACGTCCATCCTCAGACACTGTGGGCCCTGTGCACTCGCGTTCCGCTGCCATGGCAGCAGGGGAGGGGTGGGGGGAGGTAGGAGCAGTGGCAGCTCCACCAGCAGCGGCTGCCTCAGTCTGCAGTCGATGATGAGTAGCTTTCTTCACCAGCGCAGTGAGGAAACTACTAACCTGCCGCAGCAGCAGCAGCAGCAGCAGCAGCAGCAGCAGCAGCATCAGGTGGACCTGGAGCAGGACCTCAAACAACAGGCTTAGGCCTACTTGGACAGCACCCTGCCAACCGAGGTAGACAATCCCCCCCTTGACTACTGGGCAACGAAACTTGACCTTTGGCCCCAACTAGCTGAATTTGCCCTTGAAAGGCTGTCATGCCCGGCCAGTAGCGTGGCATCGGGGCGCGTGTTTAGTGCGGCAGGAGGTATTGCAACTCCGCGGAGGACACGACTGTCCACCCAAAGTGTGGAGAGACTCACGTTTGTGAAAATGAATCAGGCGTGGATTAGTCTGGATTTCAACCACCAGTTCCTGACACAACTGACTAAATCCGCCATGAATCATGCCCCAAACATGTGCCACTTTCAGGTCTCCTCACACTGCTGGTGTGTTCCATTTTTTGTCATAGGGTGCTGGCAGATTACGGGCCTCCCATAGCTGCTGCCAGGCCCCTAATCTGCCATGGGCCCCTATACCGCCTCCTCATGCTGCTGCCAAGTCCAGAGTCTCTCATGGGTCCCTGTACGGCCTCCCCATTGCTGCTGTCTCCATCGCCACACTCTGCCATGTGCCACTTTCAGGTCTCCTCACACTGCTGGTGTGTTCCATTTTTTGTCATAGGGTGCTGGCAGATTACGGGCCTCCCATAGCTGCTGCCAGGCCCCTAATCTGCCATGGGCCCCTATATACCGCCTCCTCATGCTGCTGCCAAGTCCAGAGTCTCTCATGGGTCCCTATACGGCCTCCCATTGCTGCTGTCTCCATCGCCACACTCTGCCATGTGCCACTTTCAGGTCTCCTCACACTGCTGGTGGGTTCCATTTTTTGTCATAGGGTGCTGGCAGATTACGGGCCTCCCATAGCTGCTGCCAGGCCCCTAATCTGCCATGGGCCCCCGTACCGACTCCTCATGCTGCTGCCAGGCCCGTAATCTGACATGGGCCCCTGTTGTCGCTTGTTGGCATATTCCGCTCGTTCAGATGCTCCTTCTCCTGCTACTCCTCTTCACGGATTCCGTCAGCAGTCTTTCTTGGAATCCGTTTCCAAAGAGACAACAGTTTTGCGAACACGCACCCGACGGTGCAGAAGCTGAATGTCCTCCTGTCCAAGTTGCTGCTGCCAGGCTCGTAATCTGTCATGCGCCCCTGTACCGCCTCCTCATGCTGCTGCCAGGTCCAGAGTGTGTCATGGGCCCCCGTACCGACTCCTCATGCTGCTGCCAGGCCCGTAATCTGTCATGGGCCCCTGTTCCGCCTCCCCATGCTGCTGCCAGGTCCAGAGTGTGTCATGGGTCCCTGTACGGCCTCCCATTGCTGCTGCTGCCAGGCCCGTAATCTGCCATGGGCCCCCGTACCGACTCCTCATGCTGCTGCCAGGCCCGTAATCTGTCATGGGCCCCTGTACCGCCTCCTCATGCTGCTGCCAGGTCCAGAGTGTGTCATGGGTCCCTGTACGGCCCTCCCATTGCTGCTGTCTCTATCGCCACACTCTGCCATGTGCCACTTTCAGGTCTCCTCACACTGCTGGTGGTTTCCATTTTTGTCATAGGGTGCTGTATGGCCTCCCATTGCTGCTGCCTCCACCGCCACACTGTGGCTCCACCCTCTGGTTTTGGCCCCGTGACTGCCCAAATGAGTGAAGTGTGCGGTGATTCTAAGATCGACGGCACTCATCTGCATGTCATACTGACTGACAGTATTATTTCTCTTCCCCAGCAGACTCCAAGGGCATTTAAATTAAAGGTACAGTGTTCTGCACTAATATTAAGTCTCTCTGAAGCCTAGAAACACCCTTTTTTAAGTTAAATTCACAGCGAATTTATTCGACTCGAATCGAATATTGTCCACGCATTATACCACTAGGGATATTTATATATGGGGATATTGCACTAGTTTTTGATTATCTAAGTTGAGCGCTTCACCACTTATATTATTTTTGTTTTACATATCTTGCGGTATAGAGAATAGGTGATAGCAGCTAACTCACTAGGTTCTGTGGAGTGCAGGGGGATTTCTGTATATCCATATTCCTCTATCATTCACTGACTAACCCTTGGAATATGAAAGGTGCTGCATCAACTATTATACAGTATAGCATTCTCCTTTCTTGGGCACCATCAATGACATCACCAGATCCTCATGGGTGGACTTTTGAAAGGCCCACCATCCTGCGCAGGCTGATTTCCTTGTTATTCTTATCCTTGAGAACCTTTGAAAATTCTCCTGCAGATTTCAAATGTATTTTCTTTCGGCCTCCCCCCACACTAGCAATGTAAAAATGATCCTCACTCCTCTCTGAAAAATGCATCCATTTCCTTATTTGGATATTCTTGTAGCCACTGGACTAGCCTATGCATCTTTATGGGTGTCAATGTTGTTCCTAGAAACATTTTCACCCATTAAAGACACCTTCTTTTCTCTCTCCCCCCACCCTAAACCTAGCATGTCCACTCCCACAGGTGGCTGAGGAATGCCTGAATTTGCAAGAAAACCCCTTGCAACAATGCAATTTGTGCTGGGCCCAGCAGTGGCCTCTCAACTTATTAGCTGGGTCATATTCCCTCCCTACTGTGCTGCTAAATTGTGTTGTATTTGAATGTCTCTGTCCTCTTTATTTTCCACCTTGCAGGCTGACCCAGTCTCCAGTTTAGTTGCATTTGCTGCTACAATACCTTTGCCACCCCTTTACATTTTGTTGCACAAATTTCAAAACAAATTCCACATTGTAGTCACATCCCACAATCCTGCTGCCCACTGCTAAGGGTCCTGGCACCATATTGAGTACCAAACACGATTTCTTCTGCGCTCTAGGACCCAGGCGGGTGGCAAATAGATGGAACCAGAACTGGAAAAAAGCGACCACCAGTGCATCAAAGGTTGTGCAGCTCCAAACAAGGCTGGGGAAGCCCGACCAACACTACAAAGCGAAACAAAAATGAGAAGCGCACAGACCTTGCGCATTACCTCAATAAACAAAAATGTATTAATAAGAAAAGGTACTCACTGTTTGTGAGTACCTTTTCTTATTAATAAATTCTTGTTTATTGAGGTAATGCGCAAGGTCTGTGAGCTTCTCATTTTTGTTTCACTTTGTACCATATTGAGTACTCCATGTGTTCTGCCAGGCAAAGTGGTCCTCTTCCAGGTAAACAAATGACAGCCACCAGGAGAAATAGTGCCGCCATTAGGGCCTCCAACCTTAACTGGCTTGACCTTGATTGTTCAGCATTGTGTAGCAGCAAGTATCTTTCCCTGCACACATTTTTGTCAGACCTTTTCAATGCAAGTCTCCAAACTGACAAAATGCTGTGGGAAAGACTGACATTTATAGGGAGGGAGCTGGTATTTATTAAAACCTTCATTATTGGTCCTTCGCCATCAGACCATAATTCAAAGGCCAGGACGTGCATTATTAGTAACTGGTTGCTACAGCAGCAAATGAACACAGAAGTTCACAATTTTCCTGAATTTACTTGAGAACTCAAAGTTGACCCGTACCTAAAGTTCATCTAAGCCAATGTGTACTGGAAATCCCTTTTAGGCATCATACATAAGTTTATTACAATATAATTAATATTGTATATGTGTACACATATTGCAGCCACTAAAACGAGGCAGTTTTGGTTCAGGATTGGTTAACAGGATGTACACACAGATATACTTTACATGCTTTTCATTATAAATAATCTTAAATAGCACTATAGAAAGTTTTATATATTGAAATGTAAGGCCTTTGCATCACTAGTTAACAAAGAGACGAAGGTCAAAGGCAGAACAAAAGAGGTGTATGGAGGAGTATTTAACAGCAACTTAGCGGCTAAAAGTGCTATAGATCACAGACATAAAAATATCAGGTACAGCCATAATGCTGCTGACCAAAATTAGGGAAAAAATGAAGTCAAGCTATTAAACTCATAAAAATTCAAGAAGTCTATTTCCATTTTACCTGCTATTAGTTCTTTGGGAAATAAATTGGATTTCAAATAAAACGAAAAAAGCCCCCAAACCAGCATGCTTTCAAGATGTAAAATTGTCAATAACAATAAAACATATTAACAATTTTTACAGGTATCTATTGGTTTGCAGCTGTGATCCACATTAACAGGAGGGATAAAAAGAGTTTCCGTGAAGTGTAATAACATATTTTGTGTAGATTGTGCGCAGTGTTCACATAATGACAGGTGCCTTGCTATATTATTTAGGTTACATTGCTATGTTTGTGAGGACATCAGACCTGCAGGAGTAAAATTAGTCATGTATGTAAATTATAATCACTTTAGGATAGTTGTATGTGCTCATTTAGGCATTTTAATAGCATGCAATGTTATCCTCTCAACAGGACTAATAAGCATTAGCTGTAATGAGGTCAGCCAGTCAGTTTGGCATTATCGTGGATTTAATTGGGACACTGGTCTCTGCTGAAGAGAAAATTAATAACTTTTGTCAATGTTCTGCTGAGATGTTCTGTCTTATTGAACTATGAGGGTCAATTAGAAAGCATTATATAATAAAGTCTTCAACAGCAGACCTCTAAACTGAGTTATACTATTGTCATTATCTAGTGCTATAGCATTTAAAAATAGAAACCCAGAAATATTATCCCGATTCCTATTTGTAGGATGTTTGCAAACACTATGTAGCAAAATGGAAATGTTTAAGTTTCAGTGACTGTAAAGTTTGCCATAGAAGGTGAATCAGGAGTAGTAGCAGAATGGATTATGCTCTTTCAGTTGTGATCTTCCATTGCTGTTTTAAGGCCTCCCTCTAGTAACAGGGAAGAAATATTATCCTTATCACAATTCTTTAGAAAGGTAACATTTAACTTTTGGTACCACCTATATGTGACATCTAGTTATGCTGCTCATCCATAGAAACATAGAAAAGTGACGGCAGAAAAAATCAGAGTGGTCCATTGAGTCTGCCCGTTTTTTTGTTTTGGTTTCTTTTTTAAGGGGAAGGGGTGGTTGTTTGTTTGTTTTGGGGTTTTTTTTTTTTTTTATTTATTTGTTTTTTGTTCACTTTCTTTCTGAGTATACTGTAGATCAATGCTTGTCCCACACATGTTTGAAGGTATTTACTGTTGACTGGCTCACTACCTCTCCTGGAAGTTTATTTCAGGCATCAACTACTCTTTCAGTAAAATAGTGCTTTCTGAGATTAGTTTTGAACTTTCCTCCAATTAGTTTAAGGTCATGTCCCGTGTTCTTGATATTGGTTTCAGGTTGAAAATACTGCTCTCCTGAACCTTATTCACCCCCTAGGTGTATTTAATGGTTTCAATCATGTCTCCCCTTTCCCTTATTTCCTCCAGACTGTACATGTTAAGTTCCTAAAGTCGCTCCTAATATGTTTCATCCCCCAGACCTTTCACCATTTTTGTTATGCGTCTCTGGACTCGTTCTATCTTATATAATATCTTTTGTAAGAGAGTTCTCCAGACCAGGACACAATCTTCTCAATGAGGTCTAGCTAAAGATCTATATAGTGGAATTAGGACCTTCTTCCTCCTGCTGGTGACCCCTCTAGTGATGCACCTAGAATTCTATTTGCTTTCCCCACTGCCTGGCCACACTGTTTGCTCATTTTGCAATCATCTGAAATAAGTACCCCCAAATCCT